TCTTAAGCCATCTGATTTAAGGGCCGTGACACACAAACGCGGCCTTAAGCAATAAGACGTAAGCAGCAAATGAATTGACCAATCATAGTCGAGAATTATGGCCGGTATTTGTAGTCGTTTCTTATTTCGAAATCATCTTAAGTGTTTTCTTGAAAGGCTAATACGGTTCTGTAATTGGTTAAAAACACATTAAGAGTATACTTAAGATGAGCTTAATTATAAGAACGGACTGTGATTGGTCAATTCGTTTACTGCTTACGTCTTATTGCTTAACCACGGCCCTAAAACTCTGCATCCTTATTGGTTCACGTAAGCAACCCGGTAGGAAAAATAGTATCGTGTGTCGTTTGCTTTACACTATAGTGAAAACGCTAAAAGTGAATAGCTTCGTCTCTGTCTAACCCCTTAGAAAGAGACAAAGCCCCTCGCTTTGAGCATTTTCACTGTATTGTAAGATACAGAATTGACCCCCTATGCACTGGTGAACTATTAGTGCAGTAAGCTACGTGTCTTGCTCCAATTTACTGCGCCGGTGCGGCAATAGAATACAAGCCTACTGTTTCGGCGAATTTTATTGTTCCCCGCTTGGCTTGGCCAGCCAAATTCACGAAGAAGAAGATGCGCTTCGGCGAATAACGCGAATTGCTCTTCTCCCGCGAAATCCGCTTGATCCGCGTTCGACGCGGACAAAGTGCATGTGAAAGGCAAATATTGGCGAACAGCATGTAGTCGTTACGCAGCAGGTTTCCCCACTCGCTTTTGATGTAAATCCGAGTCTTCGAGTCATTACAGCTGAAAGAGCCTTTTGTGTCGATGTTTTGCTGACGAGTGGATTTTCTTCTTCTTGATGCTAAACTTTGTCTCGCTATTAAGAATTAAATCCGACGAGTCTCCTTAGTTAACTTTTATACCCGTTTGCACCAACTTTCATCTTACAATTAGTTCAATTGTCATTTTCCAACTGTCCCCTTAGAAAGAGACAAAAGACGATCTAAAACTGATTGTAAGGTCAAAGGTAAACGACGTTGCTGAAAACCGGAATTAATTATTAAGGGCCAAGAAAATATTTTAAGGGCCAGTTTCACAAACGTCGGTTAACAGCTAACCGAAGGTTAATTGATTCTCTGTCTCTTCTTAGATAACAAGATAGAAAAAGGTAGGGAGTTGACTGAACTCTGATTAACAGTTGACACAGACAGTACACATGTCTAAAAGGCGTCATAAAGATACCTTCAAGACATCTTTTAGACGTACATGTCTAAAAGACAACTTAATGACGTTTTAAAGATGTCTTTCAGACATGGGTGCTGTCTGGGAACCGACGTGTGTGAAATTGGCCCTAACAGTGGCCGCGCGCGTGCACAGAGAAAACGATTTCTTTGGATTTAATCAATTTTGTTGCATCCAAACAAATTGGATATTTGAAATGGTTCAAACAAATCGTTTGAATTTGAAATAACATATATCTTCGTTCGCGATAAAATATTTGTTTGAGACAAAAGGTCTTTGATCTAAACGATATTATTTTTTTCAAACAACATCAACCTCTTGGTAAGCTGACCAATAGTCAAATTATTACGTCTATCTTTGTCTCAGTTGAAGGAAAAACACAGACGTGCATTCATCGTTTTCCTTCTACATTAGAAGACGGAAGATAGACACTGAATTAGTACACTTTGTTCAGCTATAATGAATAGACGATTATACCGCGCCTGCTTATGCGGTCGCTTGTATGTTTGGCCGCCGTGATTTTACTTATGATGCGTGGTCTACAATGCAAGTTGCAGAGTCGCAGTCGTAAGAATAATCGACTATGATGGTCAATTTCGTCAGACACATAAGAATTGACCAATCATAGTCGTTTATTCTTACGACTGCGACTCGCATTGTAGACTCCGCATAATTAGAGTTCGGCGGCCATCCAGCGCCGAACTGTATAGGCGCCTGACAAAATAATATAATCATTTAATTGAAAGATATTACTTGAAGTAATAGTGTCTTTTCCATCAGATACTAGAGATTGAATAAAAGAACAAAATTTTTATTCAAACAAATAATGTTTCGTATAAGCATATGTTGTTTCAATGAAACAGATTTCAATCGAATAAATAGGCATACTAAATCCAAAGAAACCTTTTGTGCATAAACACGCACGTAGGCACGCGTGGTAGCGTAAGGTGTTCGGAGGAACGTTCTATCGCTGAATGTCGTGTGAATTGCACTTGCAGCTGATCATGGAGCTTGAAAACTGCAATGCGCACGGTGAGAACATGGGGCCTAACACGCCGCAGCACGACAACGACCCGAGCGGCAACAAGAAGTGGTATCGACAGGCCAGCCAAAGGTTAGTGAATGCGCCTGTTGTCACCTGTGTACACCTGCCTTTGTGTCTTTACGTCTTTGCGTCACAAAGTGCCTCCATTTAAATATTCGGTATTTGAATAACGAATGCAAATTTCGCGATCTAGATATATTCGTACGTCGCGATTGGAAGCTGTGTCTCTTTAGCTCGACAGCTGTAACAGCGTTCGGCATAAAGAAAGTTGGACGTAAAATAAAATCAGGTGAATAGTACATGTACGTGCGATATTAAATCAAACCACTGAAAAAATTAGGTATATATTCGTTATTATAAGCAAATACATATTAATTGCTGGTTATATTAATTGTTATAAGTAAAGTAAAATATAAGTTAAATTCGTCAGTTTTTAATCACAGCAATCACGCCGATATTTAAACCACGATGCGTTCCGTCTGGGAGCGACGACGAATAACACTTCGAACAGATTTTGATAGAAAAACAGGAGACAGAGTGCGTTTGTCTGAATAAAATAAGTCACAAGTATCGAAGGGTTTTATTTCCTAGGATAACATATATCTTTGATATAGAAGTGGTGAAGGTAGACGCGTAGATAATCATAAATTGAATCGTTCGTTTTACACGTGTAATCGTCGCAGAATATACTCGAGTCTTTCCTCGCACGTTTATGCTGTTTTTTATCGATGAAAAGTAAAGTACCTTAAATGTCAAAGCACGAAACAGATTCTTATCATCTGGGCGACGCTTTTCGAGGGAGCAGACTCCAACTTTAGGTATATTAATTTTGCGACGATTTTAATCGACATTTAAAGGGAGGGGGGATGGCCCGTACTATGTCGATGCAGGATGTCTGGAATATTTTCGGCCTATTAATACGTCCGTTCTAATAGTTGCGACATCGTCGAAAATACCGGCGTAACCTACGCATTTTCGAAAACGAATCCATATGCACAGCACGAAAATAACTCGTTTTAAATGATACACTTCGGCCGCGATGTATTTCGGGAGGCTGCACGACATTCTCTTTCTCCATGGCTAATATCGCGCGGCAAGTTGTACACAAACACGTCCGTAAGAAAAATAATCTGCGTGCAAAATATCTCCCGAGTAACATACTGTTTGAAGAAAGACCGTAGAAGAGGTTTCTTTCTTCGCGTCTTAAATCATAAATTACTAAAAAATACATCATTTAAACGATGCATCATCCGCGGCCTTTTCTTCGCGCCGAGTCTACGAGAGTAAATTTCCGCTAAAGGCTCCCCACGCAGATATACGACCGTTTGATAAACATGCGACAAGAGAATTCACGAAAATTCGATAGGTAAGCAATTTAAAAGTGTAAACCCAATAATTGAAGCCAACGAAAACGATATTAAAACGTAAGCCTTATAATTAAAGACAGCAAAGACGATACGCGTGGCCGCCGTTATCGCCGCCGAGGATAACATCGAGATACGCCACGTTTCAAAAACACGCTCGGACACGCGCCGTCGATACACGGCCGATTTTTCATATATATACGTATACAAGGTGTTCCAGGAAGGAATGCCAATATTCTGGGAGGTGATAGTATCGGTCAGTTTAAGCAAAAATGTTCGTATGAATATATGTCCCATTCCCCACTGTTTCCGAGATAGAGCCACTTGAATGTCTCGTGCATTTACTTTTTTTCCTGTACACTTCACTCCTCATCCAACTTCATAAATGTCTGCGGGAATTTACTCTTATACGTCTGTTGACTGTTGAGGTAATATTTTTCGCGGTGAATTTCTTCAATTTGCCAGCCATTGGTCGTCATGCAATTTTTCTACATTGTAGGAAATGTCGAATGTGCTAATACGCTGTATGTTTACGGTTTCTGTGATGGTAGTGCGACTGCTGCTGTTAAAGAATACCGTCGATGCTTTCCTACACGCAGAATTCCGAATCGTAAAGTGTTTTCCAAGGTTTTCAATACATTGCGTTAAAGTGGAACGCTTCCCAGTGTTCATGTTTTATCTGAACGAGGACGTCAACAAAATGTGCTTTATCTCGGAGACAGTGGGGAACGGGACATATGTATATTCATATGAACATTTTTGCTTAAAATGACGGATACTGTCACCTCCCAGAATATTGACCTTTCCTCCTGGAACACCCTGTACATTGTCCGCATATTATCCGTCCGTGGTTTTCGCAAGGCCAACGGTTAGGCCCGGTTTCACCAACGCTGTTTAACTTTAAGCGCAGCTTAATTCACTCTCTGTCCCTTTCCAACTGTTCCCTTAGAAAGAGACAAGCGTGAATTAAACTAAGATTAGAGTTAAGCGACACGTTTGGTGAAAGTCAAGTACACATCGTCCCTGCGGCAGATTAAGCCCCAGGGTCTCGTTCTCGTTCGCGCGTTCTCGCCTCCCGACCCGGGAGATTCGCTGGCGAGAAAGAAAACGATGAAAATCGCGGCGTATCACGCGAGCCGCGATTACCCTGCCCGTCTCTATCGCTTTCGTCACGCGATTGACCCTTGGGGCCTGATCCGCCGGGCTCTTATCGCCGCGCTCCGTGCTCCCGTCCGGGCCGCGAATCGCGCTATTTGTGACCGCGGATTCACGGTCGAAAGCTGTTGCTGGTACCGTCATTACGACATTGACGCTCGCGCGGGACAGAGATCGAGGGCCGTGCGACGGACTGCGTGATTGCCGATCAGTTTTTCGACATTAATTTGCGCGATGACTCAGCGAATTGTCGACCTGGTCATTACGCCGGCGAGCAACGCTTTTGGTAATTATCTCCTTCTCTCTGTGTTTTTTTACAACATATTTATATATTTTTTTAATGTAGTTGGAGACGCGTCTAGATATAAAAAAAAAAGTCTAAATTATTTGCCGCCTCCTCTGTACCTTTTCCGAGGCTTTTAAATCGAGTCGCGCGTGATTGCGATTTAAGATTCAAGTTAATATATCTAATCTGTCTCTGCCGAGGGAGACGCGATCGGATCTTGGAAAACGTCGCGCGATAAATGATACTTGAGGAGATGCGCCGCGCGTGGCGGTATCTCGGTAATTATCCACGCGGCGAGTCCATTGTTCTCTCCTCAACTTCCTCGGAGACGGATCGAAGGGGTTCAATGCAACGAGACAAGCCCGCAATTCGTAAAATCCAGTTTAAATGCCCGGGTAAACGCTGCTTCATCTCTCGCCCCGCTCCATTTGTGTCGGCGTAGACGCGCGCTCGTAAATTTAACGCGTTCCCTCTCGTCGCGAATACCAACCGCACCTATTGTCACGAATGCCGCGCGAAGGTGCTACGAATCGCGGGCTCGCTCCATTACCGCGGAACCCCCCGCCCGAACCCTTGAATTGCAACGAAGACGACTCGAATTTTACGGTGCAGGACCGAGGGTGCGATTTCCGGACGACTCGAACGTATTCCCCGAGGAATCGATCCACCGTGCCATGCTCGGCCTTAACGTAGGACTGACCAGGAACGATCGTAGCGAGCAAGACCTGGACAGCTACAACGAGGGCACGCACGGCGCCCGCAGTGATAAGCGCGAACTGGGGCACAGGTAAATCTGGGATTCTGCACATTGCCGGGGGTGAAAGCGGAGTGGGTCGGGACGTCCCGCGGTGCTATTAATAACGCTGATAAGACGTGCCTGACGACGTGCAGGTGCGCGAGACTAGCGTTCAACCCCGCCAGTTGACCGGCGAAAAACCTTACTCCAATTATAGAATCTGGCCCCGGGTCAGTAATGCAGAGTTTTCAGCCTAATTTTAAACTCATTTCACTTCGCGTTTCGATCACGCCACTTCCTGGTGCCAGAGGCATCCCGCGAGATGCGTGTCGCGACGCGACACGCGCGATCGCTTCCCGCTATTGGAATCAATGTCGCGTACTGGCGACAAATCTGCGCGACGACGTACCCTCGGCCGCTCGTTTATCTTCGTGCGAGACGAACGGTATCGCTTGGAAATTTAAGGCCCTCCAAGTGAGACGGGGAGACGAACTTGGCTGTCGGCTGATCCTCCCGGTTTTACGCCCGGGCGGGATTGGAATTTCTCTCGGCGGGATTGGAATTTTCTCGCGCGAGCGGGAGTTTCGCGCCAACGTGTCGGTGTCGCGGCCATCGATTTTGCGTCCGGGAAAATATAGGTTTTCACGTGGTCCGGGAAACCCGGAGGATATATGCACGCGGCGTCGCATCTCCCGATAATGTGCGCGCGCTTGCTGCACAACGGTCTGCAGTGCTCGCGTAACGGGGCTGATGCGAAGACCCCGAGAGAGGTACGCCTCTCTCGAGGCATCGCTCGCGATCGATCGCCGCTTCGAAACCTCCTGGCAAAGCCGCGGATTTTTATCATCGGCACCGACCATCCAGCCCGCGCGAACGCAACTCGGAAAAACGGAAAGACCTCGACTTGGACGCGAGGGGCCTAACTGACTTTAGTTTGTCAAACGACTCCTCTCTTTTCTATTCGCGTTACGTTGTAAGATTTTCGTCTCGCGCGTTTGTTACACGTTTTGTATAATATCGGAAACTGTATACGGAATGTTTGTCGTGTGCCTCGCGAGGAAAACGAGCGAGGAATAGAAACAACAGATCTTTTGAGTCGCTGCATTTTAATGCTACACTCTTTGAATGGTCTCTCGTATCTCGAGTAACCGCGACGTTCTTCGAGTCAGTCGTCGATTATATCCTGCGTCTGGGATGCCGTCGCAATTTATTGACGGTGAAATTTGTCGCCTTGTGTCAGCGAAGTAGTCGCCAAACCTTCGCTAAGATCGACGGCGTCTGCTTAAGCTCGATAATTCATCGTCATCTTGTTGAGGACGGAAATAGCCGTTAATACTTGTGCCTTATCTTCCTTTCTACAGATATTTCTGTGAATGCTCGCTATTCTTTCGTTACTGTAACGCGAGAGAACAATGCGGGAAACGAATCAAAACCGCGCATAGAGAGAATAATTGCGGTAGATTAACGCGCTCAATGGTATTATTAGATAATAATAGGGTTTCGTCACACTACTAACGAGATCCTTCAGCAATCTTTCTTAGAACTGCATTGTGTCAACGGCAGCCATCGCGTACAATATGATATAATTGTTGGGCCGACATTGTGTATATAATTCTCACGATACCCGCGGCTGTTCAGCGAAATAATTTAGATAACATTGTACTTGGAAATGATTATTTCTTCAGTCTTTCTTCCTTTCTTCTCTTTCTTTCTTTTTCACAAATACATATATGCACACACGGAGAGAATTTTCTTTTAACATTTAACCTGAATGTATATTGCAATTGTGGGACAACGCGGCGTTTCAAAGAATTTTATGAGAGTTTTTTGAAATTTTTACCATACATTTCACTAGTAATTATACTTCGTAATAGTAAAATTTTGAAGAATTTTATGAATTGTAAATTTTGTACATACATTTTACTAGTAAATGTATAAAATTTCTTAAAAATTAAATTTTTTAGAACATTGTTGGAAAATTGGCAAATCGACTGATCTTTTTCGCAAGGTCTCGATTTTGCCCAATTTGTGGTTTTTCTGCTGAAACACTCATTATGATCCAGAATGGAGGTTTAAGCAGAGAAACCGGAAATTGAGGGAACGATCGAGATACGATCTTGCGAAAGAGATCAGTCGAAATCTGCTTCTTCGCTACGCATCTAAAAATAACAAATTTATAATGCTAAGTATGGCATTAAAATTAAATTAAAATAATTTACAAAAATCGTTCAGCGATTTTTAGAACACGTGAATTCACTGACGATAATGGTCTAGAGGGAAAGACCACCTAGGGGAAACCTGTGTTATATATGTCCGATAGTAACGGCGCGCAGTACAGGGTGGGAAAAGACGGTATATGGATTTACTTACAATTAGTAAATTAATGGCCACCACCATGCCAGGTCCTAAATGGCGTTTAAATTTCAATTTGAATTAACAAAATTAATTTACACATGTAAAATATATATTTCCAATGACATGTGGTGTGCATTTATTCCGTTTATTCGTATTTGTATACGACGTATAAATAGCAGAGAGAGGATCAATTAAACTCGATGTAACGATTTCATAAGAAAGTATCATCTCTATACGCGCGGGCGCTAAAGCGTTTCTCTTTCTCTTTCCCGTATTGCATGTCCGTCGTAATCTGTTGGGCCAAGCACTGTCAAGATGCTTTTGTGAGTCAATTGCGATAAAGCGACTAAAAATTTCCAGCGGCGCAAACAAGTTTCTTCACTAAGCAGATAGCAGCAACGACAATTGACGTTTTAATGTAATCAAGCCAAAGTATTGCTTCACAAGAATTGCGCTGTCAGTATTGTAATATAAACAAAAGTACACACCCGTGAAGCTTTCGTGCCCTCGAGAGGATGCTGGGCGGCACTTGGCGGATAATTTTCGCGACGACACGTCGAGAACTCCTCTCAGCATTGTATTGATGTCACAAGTAATAAAATTATAAATAACAAAAGGTTGAAACGTAAGGTGGCACGATTGCACGTGCTTCCTTAGAAATTTTCCAGTTCCAATAATGTTTATCATATGTGATACAAAGAATCGCGAACATTTTAAAATGTATGATACATCTCGAAAGACGCTCTCTTCGAAAGCTTTAATTGCCGCCGCTAAAGTTCACGTTTTTTTCTCAGGGCGTCGATACGCGTGCGGTCATTCGTCCGCAATCGCCGACTTTATCCACCGCGAACGTATAAAAGTGACGATCAAAAACTTACGCAATACGCGCAACTTATTTCGAGTCACTGGCAGACACTTCTGGCAACGTGAGGAGCTCCACGTCGCAATAGTAAACTCGCGTGTAATTCATTCATGTTGTTATTAGCGTTGCGCCATAAACGCTTCATCAACTCGTCAACTACTAGCTCCGGGTGATGCACGATGATGTTGAATATATTGGATTCATAATTAAGTACACTGAGAAATATGTCCATCGGATAAGTCGGTTAAATAGTGTTTCCGATGGTTAATTTTTCCGACCACGTTTTCCGATTAAATTACGGATACATCGGATGAAATTTATCCGATGAAAATGTAGTTACCGTGTGAAATTTGATCGACAAACCGATCATATTTTTTATCGGATATGCACAATTTGATTGGATATATCCGTTTGTTATTATATAATTGGGTTAGCCGATTATATTTAATCGGACATTTTCCTCAGTGTATTATACGCTGAGAAAAATAATCACCGGATCAATCAATTGAATAGTGTTTCCGAGGGTTAATTGTTTCCGATTACGTTTTCCGATTAAATTATGGATACATCGAATATACAATTCAATTGGATATATCCATTTGTTATTATGTAATTGGACTATCCGCTTATATTTAATCGGACATTTTTCTCAGTGTAGGATCTCTCAGATTTTTTTTCCTCCTGTCTATAGATTGCCGAATCGGAGAGCGACGCTCCGAATCTCTTTTTAACCAGGATTCAAACTTCTCCCCCTTTCTCGCCGGTGAAAAGTCTGGCACTAGGCCTGTCATTAAATGTCAAGTGAATTAGGTATTAAAAGAATTTTATGTGCAGACGTAACGTAGACGCGCGGCGCGGTAGACGCCGCGAATAAATTATTGGTGAAAGTGCAAGCGGTGCGTGCCTCAGCCCGCGTGACTTGCGTGCCGGTATGCACACATCCTCTTGTGCGACGCCTTCGACCGACTTAACTGAAAAATCCGCGGAGCTAGATAAGAAGATCGTGCTAGGAACAATTAACGGCGAGATTACGCGAAATTGACCGTTGGTACATCTCGATGTCCTTATAGATAGACTGATATTAAAGCGCGTGACCGAGCTCGTCTCGAGGTACCAGCCGCAATATGCCACTGACAGAAGTATAAAGCCAACGGCACACGATACTATTTTTCCTACTGGATTGCTTGCGAGAATCAATAAGGATGCAGAGCTTTAGATCAGGTGACTTAAAGCTAAATCCTGATTGGATCTCGTAAGCAATCCAATATGGAAAATTGTATCGTGTGTCGTTAAGCGGCCTTAAGCAATAAGACGTAAGCAGCAAATGAATTGACCAATCATAGTCGAGAATGATGGCCGGTATTTGTAGTCGTTTCTTATTTCGAAATCATCTTAAGTGTTTTCTTAAAAGGCTAATACGGTTCTGTAATTGGTTAAAAACACATTAAGAGTATACTTAAGATGAGCTTAATTATAAGAACGGATTGGTCAATTCGTTTACTGCTTACGTCTTATTGCTTAACCACGGCCCTAAAACTCTGCATCCTTATTGGTTCACGTAAGCAATCCAGTATGGAAAATTGTATCGTGTGTCGTTGGCTTAATACACGCAGCTTCCACTTGGGAAGCTTTTACTAATTTTATGAGGCGAAATAACTCAAAAAGGAAAGCAATATATACATATATTATTTATTCCCAGTAAACACCGAGCATCGATTGCATTTATATTGGAGTTTCTCACTCAATGTAATATAACACATGTGTTATGTTACATTTACATTGTCGAATGAGAAATTATAACATAAATGCAATGTAATTGATGCTCGGTGTTTAC